GGTTCCCACAAATATACTCGTACAACTTAAAGGGGGCCTATTATGCCCCTTTTTACAAGATGTAAAATAAGTATCTGATGTCCCCAAAGTGTGTGTGTGTGAAGTTTCAGCTCAAAATACCACACAGATAATGTTTTCTAACTCTTTCAAAACTGACCCTTTTAGGCTTTGATCCTAATTGTGGTGTTTTTGTGACTGTCGCTTTAAATTCAAATGAGATTGTGCTCTTTTCGGAAGAGGGCGGAGCTGCAAACAGCTGTGTGTCAGCATAGTGTCATATTCAAAGCAGGACTAACATCCTATGCTAATGAGGAAGAGATAGTCACTAGTGGGCGGGGCTTTCCCCCTCTGATGACACGTACAAATGGGGAATGTCAATCAAAGTGTTTCTTGTTTATATCAAGTCTGATTATAGAAAGTACAATCAATACATTTTTACCATGGTGTGTGTTGTGCAGTGGAGGCATATCGAGTGGGTAATGACGTGTCAGTGGATCTGGAGTTCAGGACGGCTCAGAGCTCTGCTGTCCTGGTGGGCGTCAGCAGCCAAAAGATGGACGGGCTGGGCATCGAACTCGTAAATGGAAAGGTATCAGGAAATATTTTTTATATTCTTTTCATTGATGAGGTGTCTGGTCAATTAAGAGATTATGATTTGGGAGTTTTTACTGCAATCCATGTTTATTATGGTAAAGGAAGCTCTAGCGCACGTCCTAAACAAGTTATGGAACATCTGGGTCTCCCGGAGATAAAAGACAATCAGAGAAAGTGTAGATCAGATCAAATCAGATCAGAGGCTCAGTTCTTTATTTTGATATATAATATGGTCATATATTAATAGCAGAAATACAAAAACTGCTGGCAATATCTGGATCTTTTTTTTATTATTATTAAATGAAAATTTCAAGTTAAGATTGTGTTTTTTTCCCCTCTATTGGGATGTACATCTATTTTAAGCATGTCTAAAATGAGAAAAGATTGTAGGACGGTGCATGTTTTCATCCTCTGTGAACCGATTGGACTGTTGGGCGTGGCTAACGAAATAAAGAAATTGGCAAGTGGACAAATTCAGAGCAGAAACAAGATACACACTGATCACGCTCCCCTCAAGGACTGATAGCCCCACCCCAATGGTTAATAGCCCTGCCCAAAAAGACTAATAGCCCCTCCCTAAAGGGTTAATAACCACACCCTAAATGAATGATAACTCCACCCTAAAGTACTGAAAGCCCCTCCCAAAGGACTGATAGCCCCTCTCTAAATGAATGACTGCTCCAACCTAAGGGATTGAATGCTCCACTCTAAAGGACTGATAGCCCAGCCCTAAATGACTAACAGCACCATCCTAAAGGACTGAAAGCCCCGCCCTGAAGGACTGATAGTCTGGCCCAAAGAACTAATAGCTCCACCCTAAAAAAAACTGATAGCCCTGCCCTAAAGAACTGATAGCCCCTCCCAAAATTATTAATATCCACTCCATAGATGACTAATAACTCCTCTCTTAATGACTGATGGCTCCACCCTAAAGGACTGACAGCCCCACTCTAAAGAATTGATAACCCCTGCCCTAAAAGACTGATAGCTCCGCCCTAAAAGACTGATAGCCCTGCCCTAAAAGACTGAGAGCCCCGCCCTAAAAGACTGATAGCCCCGCCCTAAAAGACTGATAGCCCCGCCCTAAAAGACTGATAGCCCCGTCCTTAAAGACTGATAGCCCTGCCCTAAAAGACTGATAGTCCCGCCCTAAAAGACTGATAGCCCTGCCCTAAAAGACTGAGAGCCCCGCCCTAAAAGACTGATAGCCCCGCCCCAAAAGACTGATAGCCCTGCCCTAAAAGACTGATAGCCCCGCCCTAAAAGACTGATAGCCCCGCCCTAAAAGGCTGATAGCCTGCCCTAAAAGACTGATAGCTCCACCCTAAAAGACCGATAGCCCCGCCCAAAAAGACTGATAGCCCCACCCTAAAAGACTGATAGCCCCGCCCTAAAAGATTGGTAGCTCCGCCCTAAAAGACTGATAGCCCCGCCCTAAAAGACTGATAGCCCTGCCCTAAAAGACTGATAGCTCCGCCCTAAAAGACTGATAGCCCCGCCTTAAAAGACTGATAACTCTACCCTAAAAGACTGACAACCCCCCATAGAGGGTTGATTGCTCCTCCTTAAATGACTGATAGCTCCTCCCTAAATTACTGATAGCCTCACCCCAAAAGGACTAAAAGCTCCACCCTAAAAGGCTAAAAGGTCTAAAAAGCCTAAAAGGTCCCAGAACAGTGCAGGGTAATTGATCTGGCAAGTTACCCGAGGATGAAGAGATGTCGTGGATGAAATTGAAGAGGGTTGGGGAGTCGCTGAAAAAAGTGAAGGTGAACAGTGGGCGGGGGGAGGAGGGCGGTTGAGGAGGGGATCGGTAAAATAAGATTTCAGGAGTTCCGCATCCGGCATGTTCCGGCACAAATTAAGCCCTGGTCCTGCACAAAAAGACAGAAAGCCTCACCCAGAAGGACTGATAGCTCCTCCCTTAATTACTCATAGCTTCACCCTAAAGGACTGAAAGCTCCACCTTAACGAATGATAGTCCCACTCTAAAGGCCTTCTGTGTGACCTGGAAGTGTGGAAAGTTGTTTTAAAGGGGATTAAAGGTTACAGTGTTTAATTAAAATGTTTAAAGGCAAAATAAATGTTACAAAATAATGAAGTGCACAGATACATTATTTATAAAAAGCATTTCTACATACATATACAAATAACTTGAACTCATGCTGGCGCAGTTGAATTGCACTGATGTGAATGTAAATGCAGTTATTGTTAGGTTAGTCTTTCCCCATGAGTGTTCTGTTCTCTGTGCAGCTGTTCTTCCATGCTGATAACGGAGTGGGCCGCTTCACAGCCGTGCATGAGCCGAGGCAGGAGGCGGGGCTTTGTGATGGGCAGTGGCACACAGTCTCCGCCCACAAGCTGAAGCACCGCCTGGAGCTGACGGTGGACGGACAGAAGTCTGAGGCGGCGAGTCCAGACATCCGCTCGCCCTCCGCAGACACCAATGACCCACTGTATGTGGGCGGATACCCCGGTACGACTATCAAAACTCATCATTTACAATCTCATCTTCAAAATAACCCGTGTGCATTGTTCAAATTGGCTTCCCTTTGGTTATGTTGGGGGCTCTTTTTGCCCCCATTGACTTCTACTATAATTATATTTCTTGATAGCAAAGCCATGGTTTTCGCTGTTGGGAAGAGGTACAGTTTTTACTATTTCGAGAGGATCACGTGCTTATGATTGCTTGCGCATTATTCAATCCGTGATTCACCAATCAGACGATTCCTAAGCCACTATAATTACACTCAGTTCCATATAACAGCCATCTTTGCCTTTTGTGTGTGTGAATGCATTTAAAAAGAGAAGCTGGTTCAGGACAATCCCAAAAATGAAGAAGTTCTGGAAGATTTCACATTTCAACACTCGTGAAAATTAGGAAGAGGAGAAGTTTCAGTTTTAATATAATGTATATATGTTAAGTGTGTGTGTTTTTCCTGAAGCACTGAAGTCTGACTGAGATTGTGTGTGCGTGTGTGTTTCAGAGGGTCTGAAGCAGTTCGGGCTCACCATAAACACCCCGTTTAAAGGCTGCATGAGGAACGTGAAGATCAGTAAAGCTGGAAAAACTCTGCAGGTCCAGATGAACAAACTGCTGGAGCTCAGAGGAGTTCAGCCGCTCAGCTGCCCTGCTGCTTAAACACACACAGAAAGAGAGAGAGACACAGATACACAAACACACACAAACAAACAAACACACACACAAATACACAAACAATCCCACAAATACACAAACACACAAATACACAAATACACAATCATACAAATAAACAAACACTCCAACAAATACACAAACAATCCCACAAATACACAAACAATCCCACAAACACACAAATACACAATCATACAAATAAACAAACACACACAAATACACAAATACACAAACACACAAATATACAATCACACAAATATACAATCACACAAATACACAAACACACAAATATACAATCACACAAATACACAAACACACAAATACACAAACACACAAATATACAATCACACAAATACACAAACACACACAAATACACAAACAATCTCACAAATACACAAACAATCCCACAAATACACAAACAATCCCACAAATAAACAAACACACAAATATACAATCCCACAAATAAACAAACACACAAATATACAATCACACAAATACACAAACACACACAAATACACAAACAATCTCACAAATACACAAACAATCCCACAAATACACAAACAATCCCACAAATAAAGAAACAAATACACAAATATACAATCACACAAATACACAAACACACACAAATACACAAACAATCTCACAAATACACAAACAATCCCACAAATACACAAACAATCCCACAAATAAAGAAACAAATACACAAATATACAATCACACAAATACACAAACACACACAAATACACAAACAATCTCACAAATACACAAACAATCTCACAAATACACAAACAATCCCACAAATACACAATCCCACAAATAAACAAACACACAAATATACAATCCCACAAATAAACAAACACACAAATATACAATCCCACAAATAAACAAACACACAAATATACAATCCCACAAATAAACAAACACACAAATATACAATCACACAAATACACAAACACACAAATACACAAACAATCCCACAAATAAACAAACACACACAAATACACAAACACACAAATAAAACAACTGATACACAAACACACACACACACACACAAATACACAAACAATCCCACAAATACACAAATAATCCCACAAATAAACAAACAAATACACAAATACACAATCACACAAATTAACAAACACACACAAATACACAATCACACAAATAAACAAACTCACACAGATACACAATCACACAAATACACAAACAATCCCACAAATAAACAAACACACACAAATACACAAACAATCCCACAAATAAACACACACAAATACACAATCACACAAATACACAATCCCACAAATAAACAAACACACACACAAATACACAATCAAACAGATAAAAAACACACAGATACACAAACAATCCCACAAATAAACAAACACACACACATATATATATAAACACACACACAAACAAACACACACAAAATCAGATAAACAAACACACGCAGAAACAGACACACACAAGCACAGATAAACACAGATAGACATTCACGAACACAGAGAAACATACACACACAGAAACACACACAGATGCACACAAACACACACAAACAAACAGACACACACAAGCAAACACACACTCACAATCACACAGAGAGAAACACACAAAGAAACACTCACAAACTTACACACACTCACACAGATACACAAACACACGCAAACAAACAGACACACACAAGCACACAGATAAACAAACACACTCACAAACACAAACACCAGAAACACACTCAGATACACAAACACCCACAGATAGACAAACACATGCAAACAATCACACAGATACACAAAAACAGAAACACAGATACACAAACACAGAGATACACAAACACAGTCACAAACACAAAGAGAAACACACACAGAAACAAACCCAGATACACAAACACACTCACAATCACACACACACAGTAACTGTTGGACTCCACGTGTCCTGTTACAGCAGACTGCACTGTGTGCACTCAGCACCCTCCTCATATCCAACATCTGTACACGGAGAACATCTGCGAATGTTTCAGTGCATAAAGCTTTTCCTCTGGTCATTCTTCAGTGTGTGTGTGTTTCAAATAAAAATACTGTGTGAGCTTCGCTGTGATCTTTCATAAACGTCCATATGATCTGTGACCTTCACACCCAATCCCCCTTTGTTTAGCTCAGGCTGTATGACGTGGTTGTGTATGGTGGGATACGAGGTCACGAAATGTGTATAATTACATGGATATGCTCTAGACCAGTGGCTCTCAAACTTTTTTTATCAAGTTCCACCTCAGAAAAAAAAAGATCTCTCCAAGTACCACCAAAATGAGCAGTATTGAAATACAGTAGTGTAGTAGGCCCAGAAAAGCAGCTACAACTCTGCACAGTTAAAAAACGTGGCATATTACCTCAGAAATATAGTCTATATGTCATATGTGGCATATTATATACATCAATTTTGATACATTTTGAAATGTGTGTAGCATGTACATGACATATTTCATTCCTCCGCATACCACTAGAAGGAAGCATGCGTACCACTAGTGGTACACGTACCACAGTTTGAGAACCACTGCTCTAGACAACACAATGTGTAGGTGATTTATGAGGACACAATGTGTCCTCATAATTCAGATGCTTGAAAATCAGACTTATTCACATTCAATTTTGAGTCCCTGTGAGAGTTAGGTCAAATAATAAGCTGTTTTTACTGTATAAGATACATTATGGAGAGTCCTTATAAACCACCAACACCAACATGTGAGTGTGTGTGTGTGTGCTCTGCATGGAGTGATGTAATGAACAGTATTTCCAAATAAAGAAAAATCCCCTCTGACAGCACTTCATACGGGCTGCTCTGCTCTGTGTTTTCCTTCATTGAGTTAAAACAGAAGTAAACAAACCTCAGCATTAGTCTTTGATTCAGTCTAGTGTCTGATTGGCGTTACTTTTAATGCTAAAAAAGGTTTGACGAACGTAATATTGTGTAGTTCATGGTAGCGTTGCACTAGTACGTTCTTTCTTGAACTGGAAAGTACAGTCCTCACTAGGAACTTAGTAACTAAAAAGTTTCAGCTCAAAATACCACACAATGTTTTATAACTAGGGGTTGCAGCTGGAAGGGCATCCACTGCATAAAACATATGCTGGATAAGTTGGCGGTTCATTCCACTGTGACAATCCTAGACTAATAAAGGGACTAAGCTGAAAAGAAGATGAATGAAACTTTCCCAGAGATGGGTTGCAGCTGGAAGGGCATCATAAAACATATACTAGATAAGTTGGCGGTTCATTCCGCAGTGGCGACCCTGGACTAATAAAGGGACTAAGCTGAAAAGAAAATGAATGAATGGATGAAACTTTCCCAGTGATGGGTTGCAGCTGGAAGGGCTTCCACTGCATAAAACATATGCTGGATAAGTTGGTGGTTCATTCCGCTGTGGCGACCCCAGACTAATAAAGGGTCTAAGCCAAAAAGAAAACAAATTAATGAATGAAACTTTCCCAGGGAGAGGTTGTAGCTGGAAGGGCATCCACTGCATAAAACATATGCTGAATAAGTTGGCGGTTCATTCCACTGTGGCGAGCCCAGACTAATAAAGGGACTAAACCAAAAACAAAATGAATGAATGAAACTTTCCCAGTGATGGGTTGCAGCTGGAAGGGAGTCCGCTACATAAAACATATGCTGAATAAGTTGGCGGTTCATTCCACTGTGGCGAGCCCAGACTAATAAAGGGACTAAACCAAAAACAAAATGGATGAATGAAACTTTCCCAGTGATGGGTTGCAGCTGGAAGGGAGTCCGCTACATAAAACATATGATGGATAAGTTGGCGGTTCATTACACTGTGGCGACCCCAGACTAATAAAGTGACTAAGCCGAAAAGAAAATGGATGAATAAATGAAACTTTCCCAGTGATGGGTTGCAGCTGGAAGGGCATCAGCTACATAAACATATACTAGATAAGTTGGCGGTTCATTCCACTGTGGCGACCACAGATGAATAAAGGGACTAAGCCGAAAAGAAAATGAATGAATGAACTCTCTGAAACTGACCCTTTTAGCCTTTGATTCTAATTCTGGTGTTTTGGTGACTGTCGCTTTAAATTCAAATGAGATTGTGCTCTTTTCAGAAAAGGGCGGAGCTACAAATACCTGTGACTCACCATAATGGCAGATTAAAAACAGGACTAATATCATTAGAGGCTGGTTATATTCACACACAGCTGTGTTTAAACTTCTTATAAAATGATTTCTGCTTAATCCCATTTTAAGTAAAAGATTCGTAAAGTAAAACAGATTTGTTTCCTCACTACACCCATTCCGAGATGGTGACACTGGCAAAAATGAGGAAGTGCAGTTCTCTCTTTAAGTGTGCAGAAATGCTGCAGATGTTTAATGTGAGACAGAAGCTGTGGTCATGCTGGTCACACGAGTGCTGTGCAGAGGAGCTCATGGATGGAGGCTCGGTCAGAGGAGACACATTCAGCACTGCTCAGCTCTGGTGTACCGAGAGCATTCACACAACATCAACACTGTCAGGTACACACACCCTATATATATATATATATATATATATATATATACCTGCAACCAGTCTAATTGTCAGTACACTTTAAGAGTGTTAATGATAATTTCACTTGGTGTGCTCATTTGGAAATGTTAATTCTGTGCATATTATATTTTTGTTGTAGTTAAATTGCATAACTTTATCTCTGGGGATGTTTTCATCCACTCTGGGGGGATTTTAAGTCTTAATTTGGACACAGCTTCTCTGTTTCAGTTAATAAGTTGATCTTTGGTGACAAATCTTATTTTGACATGTATTTTGAGAATTTGCTTTGGAATTTTTCAAAACCTCAGCAATCTGGGCAAATTGACTACCCTTCATTGTGTTGGGGGCTGTTTTTACCCCATTTGCTTTCATTATAATCACATTTTTGATTGCAAAGCCATGACATGTATTCTTGATTGTTGCTGGTTTTCCTTGTTGGGAAGAGGGACAATTGGTGATTTTTACTGTTCTGTATAGAAGTTCCAAAGTCACATTTTCTTTTTTCTCTATTATTTATATTCGAATTATCAAAAAAAAAATAACAAGTCCCTTGGTCAATGTCAGCCCGGCTGGTGTGTTTGGTGTGTGTATGTGTTTTCCACACTTCAGTTCTCATTGGGTTAACATCAGAGCAAGTTTCAGTATATAGATTCGGCTGAACAGAGCACTCCGATATGTTATTCAGGAACAAATCAAAGCACAAGAACAAATACTGAAGTGATGTAACAAGTAATACATTTACGTCAAGAAGGAACACAAAGAGACCGACTGTGACTTCACTTACTTCCTCCCAGAACCGTTTATATTAAAGTTGATGATTAGCTGCACCATGTTGGTGTTTTCATTAATTTATATTCTTTTCGGCTAAGTCCTTTTATTATTCAGGGGTCGCCGCAGCAGAATGAACCGCTAACTTATCCAGCATATGTTTTACGCAGCAGATGCCCTTCCAGCTGCAACCCATCACTTAGAAACATCCATACACTCTCATTCACACACATACACTATGGCCAATTTAGCTTACCCAATTCAACTGTACCATATGTGTATGGACTTGTGGGGGAAACCGGAGCGCCCAGAGGAAACCCACACAAACATGCAAACTCCACACAGAAATGCCAACTGACCCAGCCAGGCTTGAACCAGCTACCTTCTTGCAGTGATGCGATCGTGCTACCCACTGCACCACCGTGACACCCTGTTGGTGTTTTGTAGCATCTGATTTTTTTTTACAAGTTGGGTCATTAGCCCAACGCTGAACCCCCAACCTGGAGGACCAGGACATGCACTACAGACTACAGTACACTACAGACCAAACGCTGAACCCCCAACCTGGAGGACCAGGACATGCACTACAGACTACAGTACACTACAGACCAAACGCTGAACCCCCAACCTGAAGGACCAGGACATGCACTACAGACTACAGTACACTACAGACCAAACGCTGAACCCCCAACCTGAAGGACCAGGACATACTCTACAAAGTACAGTACCCTACAGACCCAATGCTGAACCCCCAACCTGAAGGACCAGACATGCACTACAGACTACAGTACACTACAGACCCAACACTGAACCCTCAACCTGGAGGACCAGACATGCACTACAGACTACAGTACACTACAGACCCAACACTGAACCCTCAACCTGGAGGACCAGGACATACACTACAGACTACAGTACACTACAGACCCAACACTGAACCCTCAACCTGGAGGACCAGACATGCACTACAGACTACAGTACACTACAGACCCAACACTGAACCCTCAACCTGGAGGACCAGGACATACACTACAGACTACAGTACACTACAGACCCAACGCTGAACCCCCAACCTGGAGGACCAGGATATACTCTACAGACTACAGTACACTACAGACCCAACGCTGAACCCCCAACCTGGAGGACCAGGACATACTCTACAGACTAAAGTACACCACAGACCCAACGCTGAACTCTCAACCTGGAGGACCAGGACATACACTACAGACTACAGTACACTACAGACCCAACGCTGAACCCTCAACCTGGAGGACCAGGACATACTCTACAGAGTACAGTACACTACAGACCCAACGCTGAACCCCCAACCTGGAGGACCAGGACATACTCTATAGAGTACAGTACACTACAGACCCAACACTGAACCCCCAACCTGGAGGACCAGGACATACTCTACAGAGTACAGTACACTACAGACCCTCCACACAGAAATGCCAACTGACCCAGCCGGGTCTCAAACCAGCAGCATTCTTTCCCTTTCACTACATTTCTCAAATATTTGTAAAAGATATGGATCATTAGATTATCAGACATATTTGCAGGAGTGAATCCTGACCCTTAAACTGATTTCAGAAACAGCCACTTGAAACTTCCAGGCAAGTGGAGGAGCAAGTCGGAGCTAAACTCTGCAGTACACGGCCCTCCAGGACTGAACTTGGTGACCCCTGCTCTAGGCAATTTGGCAGTGTTGAGTTTGTGTTTTGCAGGACGCCAATGAAATGACCCTGACTGACTGGTGGTATGTGTGTTATTCAGGATGGAGCAGCTGCCGTTGCCTCCAGTTGGAGATCATTCAGTAAAGGTCCGCATGCTTGCAGCTCCAGTCAATCCTGCAGACATTAACATGATCCAGGGTAAAGTCAACTTTCACGCCTGCTGATATTCCTTCAGTCTTATGATACGTTCACACCAGATGCACATGAGGCATTTAGTATGAGTGATTTACATGTTAAGTCAATGCAACTGGACATCCTACAGTTCTGTTCCGGCAAATTAGGAAACGCGAACGACACGGGATAAATGGATTGTTTTGGGCATTTGACATTCACACAAATCACTCAAGTTAAACATTTTGAACTTAGGCGGACATTCACACCGCGTTAACCAATCAGGAGCTTGCTTTAGTAGGGGTGTGATTATGGCCTAGCACCTATTGTTGGTGTCTCGAGGGAAAATCCTCCTGCTGACATGGGACAACAGCATAGCATACTGGGTCCAGCTCAGTCGGAAGCAGCGCTGAAAGCCTCCATCATTCAAGTACAGTTTCTGGAGGTGTTTATGAACTCATGAATCTGGGCGCACCTCTGAAGGATCTGATAGACATGGCGCAGAACAAATCTTAGCTGTTTTTTAATCTTTATGAAGCACATAAAGCACAGTTACTCTAATAAAATCCATGTCAGTCATTAGCAACAAAACCAAAGTCAGCAGGTAGACAGACGCCCCTCTCATGGCACGAATCTGCATCTGTTGTATAATTAATTTGACACACAAACTCAAAATGTTCCTGCATCTAATTAGACGTGAATAGCTTGATCTTCAAGCTGCATCTGGTGTGAGCGCCCCATTATGCTGTTAGATCAGATTCCTGCTCTTCCTTTAAACCTGGTTTATACTCAACGTGTCCACTGAGTGCACACAGCAAATGTGACGTCATCGTTTGCGGAGGTTCGCTTTGGGTCGTGATTTTTTTTAAAGACTCGAGCGAACAGGGTTTGATTTTTGAATATGAACCACTTTGAGGGGATTTTGTCTGAAACAGGTACGCCTGTACAGGCTTGTTTACGATTCGTGATCATCGAGAGAAACAGATTATCAATAATTCTTGGCTAGAAATTGCAACATCCGAGGGAAAGGAGGAAAGTTTTTGTTAAAAAGGTTTGGAAAAACCTGAGGGATAAGTTTGTTGAAGCCAAAAGAGGACATGGCTAAAGTGGACGTATGGCGACGTATGTGAAGACCGGGGCAAAGGGTGGGGAGGTGTTGGACAGAGTGCGCGCAATGTGTCTGACGAGTGAGGAGGGATCCGGTGGGGAGGGGTGAGAAGGGTGCGTGACTTATTTGAGGATCGGAAGGGAGACGCGCATATTCCGGGTGATTATCACTCGTTTGCGGGCATCCGGGAGTTTCTATGCATTTGCGGGAGACTCCTGGAACTTCCGGGAGACTTGGGATGCCTGATAATAATGATATGACGTAGTTCCAGAAACTTTCTACTTCTCAGTTTACCCGTCTGACTTCACGGTCAGTTTCAGTTTCTTCTGTCGTTTTAGAGAATATCACAACGACGAATGCAGCAACTATAAAAGCCTCGTCCGTTTCGCGATCTGCACTCGCAGTCAGCGGAGGTGCGCAATGCGGCACCAGGCAAAGTATGAATCCAGCTTTATGAGGCAGTAATGGTGAAACTAATTTAGAGGACATTGGTCTCTTCTCCACAGGTTCATACCCGATCCTGTGCCCCATCCCGGCGGTGGGGGGGAACGAGGGTGTGGGCGAGGTGCTAGAGGTGGGCAGTGATGTCACATCTCTCCGGCCTGGAGACTGGGTCGTGCCCATAGATGCTGGCTTTGGTAAGAAATTCAGTGTTTCAGCTTAAAGACATTCAGCATTCCTCAGTTTTACAAACATATTTCAGATACATACAGTGCATACAAAATACACTTTCAGGTGTATGTCTAAAGTGCTATTTTCAACTGCAAAATTTAACGAGAATAATAGTGGGGCCTGAGTGTGTCTATTGGAATCTAATGTCAGACGTTTGTTAAACCAAGCATTCCTGCCATGAAATCCTTTCAGAGATGGAGTAATGTTTACACAATTATCTTTTAATACATTTGAGATGGCTCCTGTTGCAGAGCAATGGGCAAATTTTTAGATTTTGCTCCTCTTCTCTGGGGATAATGCATGCGGCTTGAAGGTCCAGTCATAACTTAAATCGAGAGTCTCCAAACCTGCCCTGGAGGGATGCTGTCCTGCAGAGTTTTGCTCTTAAATTAAAATTAAAATGAAAAAAGAAGGATCTTGCACTTAGTTTATATTTAACATGATTTCAGGTTAATAATTTAATCCATCAGAAAGCAAAAAACAAGCATGGAGCGTATCACAAAAAGGATTATTTTACCAAGTAATGCTTTTTTGAACCTATCTGAACCAGTTAATCAAAGTCTTCAGGTTCTTTTTATAAACTTCCAAGCAAAAGTTGGTCAGAGCTAAAAATCTGATGGATTGTCAGTCCTTGTCCTAACCCTAACCTTAAGCCTATCCTAAAACATAAGTGTATCAGGGTCAACCCATTAGGTCCACAGAGGGGAAGCTGGACAACACCAAGATCAACCCATTAGGCTCTGCAACGACTTTTATATATTTTAACATTCAGAATAAAAAGTAATTGACAAAATGCAAAGTACAATAAAAATGTCACCAAGTGGAGGCCATAGGAGGCTAGACCATAACCACAAAGCATAGAAGAAAACACATCTGGTTACTCATTTACCCGAGTTCATTTACCCACGATCACAATGAGACATTACATCAATACAGACACTGTGGGGAAAACCCTTCGGCTGATCATTCCTGAAACCCAGTAGACTCACACCATAATAGGTGCATTGTCCAACGTTCCTCAGGACATTTTAAAATGAATATAAGCAGCTTACAAATACCAATACCTATGCTCACGAAAACCACTGAGTCTTGATTCGTATCGGGTTGGGTGGTGTTGGACTGGCAAGGTTACACACTGCCTCAGCTTCCTCTCCTAGCCTACTTTTGGTCTAATCAAGGCATTTTTAGCTTAGCTTAGCATTAATCACTGAATCTATTTATGCTAAGCTAAAAGAGCTCCCGCCAGACCTGAAGATCAGCTGAATAGATTCAAAAAAGGTACAAACTCAACTCTAGCTGTAGGGGAACTGTAAATTTATTATAATCTTTAAAAAGTTAAGTGTTCCTTAAGAAAACACTGCATTATTACATCCATTATTTTACGCAGCATTTACAATGTGTGTGTGTGTATGATAGGTACATGGAGGACAGCTGCTGTGTGTGAGGAAGATGAGCTCATCTCCATTCCTAAAGACATCTCAGTCCTGGGAGCCGCCACCATCTTCGTGAACCCCTGCACCGCGTACAGGATGCTGCATGACTTTCAGACACTTTCCCCTGGTACGAAAACTCATATGGTTTAATTCGCTATTTTACAAAATAAGCACAAGTGATGAGAAAGACAACGCTTTGAAGCAGCTGAACCAATTTCCTCGCTAAAGTATTCACTGGCGGCATTCTGGTCCAATTTATGCCCTTCACTCATTAACTTACCTCCATCTCGTTGACTCGGATATACGTCACTGATTACGCCACACAAGTGTCCAGTACTAGGTGGAGCATCTGTATGGGCTTAAATGGAATGCCCTAAACACTTGAGCACTTGGGAACAACACTATTGTGACTGTACATGTGAATGTTTTGGTCGTTGGTTCTGACGTGTTTTTTGCTTGAACGGGTCAATAAAAAAGTGAAATGTCCATACCTTTGCAAATAAAGTTGGATATTCCAATCCATTTGTTGTCCATTTTGTCAAAATTAAAAAGTAAACATCAAAACAAATATAAACCCGTTCTCACAGCCATGCCGGTCAAAAAGTTTGACCTTCTTCTACTCCCCAGCTCGTCATGAGGAGAGCTTAAATACCATATACACCCACTAGTGGTGCGAAAGAAAATTGCAACCCATAAATGGCTGCAACAGTGACTTTGCAATCGCATTGCATTCTAGAATATAGGTGCTGGAGTGGACATATGAAGCCAACTCACTGCCTTGAATTTGACAGGGTTTGTCCATGAAAACTTTCATTCACTTAATGATGATGATGATGAAAAAAGCCTTTATTTGTCACACACACTTTTACATGTAGTGAAATTGGACCACTCTGACCTCATGCAAACATCATACATTTCAGAGCAAGACAGGTCAGATGAGAGGTAGCTTTAGAAAGAGAAAATGACATCCACTAGGGAAAAGGGAGGCAAAAAAAGCCCCTCCCAGACTGTCCTTGAAATAGGGCAGTGTAAGATCAGGGGACAAACAACCCAGCAGGAAGCACATAAACACATAGACATAGACATAACATCGCAACATAGGATGGGACCAGGGGATGTGGTGATAGTCTGGCAGCCAGGGAAGCTCTGGTTACTGACCCACCTACCCGCACCCAAAGGCGTTGGATGCAGGGGGAGGCAGTGATTGTCCAACCCAAGCTCATTCTGAAAACGTAGTCCCGCCGACGTTTCTGGAGACAGTGGAATACGTCCCAGGGGGTACGTACGGCCGCTTTATTTTTTTCAAGCGAACGCTGTGGGGCGGTGTGACGCCGTTCCCTTTCGCGCTTGCCTTACCTCCTTGTGGAGGGCTTCCCCGCTGCAACCCGTTTGTCCACTCAGCTCAGCGTGTACGTCAGCAGGCTCAAGATGCGGAAAGGGGTCGACCACGGCGACCGGTTTCGAGTCCGGGGAAGAGCAGCTCCAGCAATCAGGTAAGACAAAAACAGAATGCCAAAAATTAAGTGAACGAGTTTCGTGACAGGGCGAGAACGCGGCGAAATCCGAAAACGCGGTGGAATTTTACAAAAAAAATCAGGGCTTTTGTTTTTTTTGGACGCTTTTGTGAACTGTTGCTCGGGTTTAGGGAAGCGAGCGGGCGGGCGGGTCTATCGGTAAAGTTGGTTGGGTTCAGGGAAGGAGGAGGGCGAGTCGGCCGATTGGCCGGTTGCGCAATCAATCATCCGGTCAGTCGGACGGCGGCCTCACGCGAGAACAGCGCGGCTGAGAACTGCGCTCACGAGAGGGGTCTGAGGTGCGAAAAAGCGCGCAACAGCGGCCTCTCGCGGATTCGCGAAAACAAAAACTGCAGCCGTACGTACCCGCCGGGATGTATTCCGCGGTCTCTAGAAACGTCCGTGGGACTACATTTCCACAATGAGCCTGTGTTGTGATTGTCTATCTGTATCTGTGTACGTGTGTATTTGTTAAGGCTGATTTATACTTCTGCGTCAAGCACACGCGTATGCTATTGTGCAGCCTACGCATTGACGAATAGCCCTACGCCGGGGATGTCAGCGCCGCTGACGCGCTCCTCTCAAAAAATGTAACTATACGTCGCAACGACGTGTAGCGCAAGCTCTGTGATTGGTCGGCTTGGTATCCCTCACGAGTCTGGGCGGGACCGAGAGCGATTGTTTACAAGTGTGGAGTCCCATGAAGGAGCTCCGAATGGAAAGTTTTGTTTTGTGTTTACCTCATTGTTAAAGTTGTTGCATGTCCGCTGGTTTCTGCCTCAAAATGAGCGAGTTTGAGCCACTTGTACATTAAGGAAGTGTTCAGAAAAAAAAAAAACACCAGAGAAGAAACTCTACACAGAGGAACATAAACACTTTATTGCCAACTAGCGTTTCGGAAGTGTTAATGCAGAACAACAGAGACAGCGCGCAGAAGTATGAATGTACAGCTACGCGCGTTGCATGCGCTGTTGGTCACTTCGCTCACCTGAGGCAGAAGTATAAACCAGGCTTAGGTCTGTAAAGTCTCAACAAGTGTCCTTGGATCAGGGAGGAGGAATTTTGAGAGTTTTCTTATCTTGTTCTCCGGGGGAAGTTTGTTTGTCTCCAGCCTTGGCTGTCTGGCAGCAGTGTCCAGTGAAGACGAAAGAGATAACAGTAAAAGGTTGCAAATTTAAGTCAACATCGCCAATTTTGCAGATATTTAATTGAATACAGTGGAATGCACTTTAAAATGCAGTCAGGGATTTCCACAAGGAAACAAGTTAAGGGAATTTTGCGAGTGAATGTCTAAAAGTGGACTGGAAAGCAGCCACTGTTTCAAAGCATTTGAAATTCCACATACTAGGGACACCTGGTGTTCAACAGTGTAGATGCAACAAAAACCTTTTCAAACATATTGCAAACTTCTTTTCATTAAATATGTTTATTTTTAGGGATTTTCACCAGGACAGTTGAGACTAGAGACAGGAAAGCAGATAGAGGAGTAGGACTGATAAACATATTAAAACACTTATTATTTACCAAAGCCCCGTTAACCCCGTTTACTGACATCACGTGACCTTGCCAATTTGAAACGTGCACCAAAACCACTGATTAGAAAACTGATTTCGTAAAAGCAGCCATTACTAAAAGCCCAGTTGTCCGTGCTCATTTGTGGTTTGTCATCTGTAGGTAATACAGTGATTCAGAATGCCTCTAACAGTGCAGTGGGACAGGCTGTGATTCAGATCGCGGCGGCGCTGGGCCTAAAAACCATCAACATCATCAGAGACAGGTACATGTTCAAGTATTCCTTTAGCAGATGCTTTTATCCAAAGCGACACGTAAGTTTTGGTTTTCTACAAGTCTGTTTCAATATTTAAGAATGTTTGTGTGTGTGTGGGTTCCCAAGATGGAGATGAAGGGGAGCTTTCCCTCTGGTATGTCTTTGAAGACCGGGGCAGGCTGGCTCTGGCAGCATCTTGGTAGATGTCTCGGAGTGACTTTACTTTCAGACTTTTTGGAGCCACACACCATAAATGTCACACTAAGACCCTTTTATAAGGAAAAAAGGAATTTCACCTACAGACTATATGTTACAATTAGTCGTGGGCCGTTATCGCCGTTAACACAGCAAGATTTTTACCGTGCGATAAAAATATTGCCGTTAATCTGTTCTCATAGTTGGGTAGGGAGCTGAGTTATGACTTTAGTCTGAGAAACAGTTTAAAGTTCGTGTTTACCTAAATAAACAGTTAGTAAACACAAGTACATCTTACTGAACATCATTTATTTTCATCACCAATTATCATAGTAAAACAGTTTCTCAAGCAGTCTGTGATGCAATTTTGGAAACAGGAGATGAGCCCCTGCTCTAATGCGCCACCTGGCTTGAGAAACCTATTGTCAAAGACTTATTATTTGGGTAGCACACATATTCTGAATGCCTTCGGCAGAATACAAATGAGCCATTTTAATCTAGATTAATTACAAGATTACAGTGAGATTATTCATTCATTCATTTTCTTGTCAGCTTAGTCCCTTTATTAATCCAGGGTCGCCACAGCGGAATGAACCGCCAACTTATCCAGCAAGTTTTTACACAGCGGATGCCCTTCCAGCCACAACCTAACACTGGGAAACATTTACACACACATGCACACACACACTCATACACTACGGACAATTTAGCCTACCCAATTCACCTGTACTGCATGTGTTTGGACTGTGGGGGAAACCGGACCACCCGGAGGAAACCCACGGGAACGCAGGGAAAACATGCAAACTCCACACAGAAACGCCAACTGAGCCGAGGATCGAACCAGCGACCTTCTTGCTGTGAGGCGACAGCACTACCTACTGCGCCACTGCCCCGCCCTACAGTGAGATTAATCTAGATTAAAAAAATGAAACTACGCCCACCTCCAGTTCCAATACTTAAAATGTTTTACCAACACAGCAGTTTTTTATGTAACTCTGAAATGAATTTCTCAAATATATTTCTCGACCTCAGAGAGAACTGTGACCAGCTGATGCAGGAGCTTCAGTCACTGGGAGCCGATTACGTGGTGACAGAAGAGGAAGTGATGTCATCAGGTCTTCATCAGCTTTTCGAGGTGGGAGATTCTGTTCTTCTGCAACTCTTTCAGGACTTTCCACATAAACATTATGTGTGTTGCATTTTTGTACAGGAGGTCCCGAAACCTAAACTGGGCCTGAACTGCGTGGGGGGCCTCAGCGGAGGACTTGTGCTTTCTAATCTCGAGTAAGTCTGACGTCTACTTGATCTTGTTTTTTTATGCAAATCTTATGATTGCTCATCATTAGAAAAATACAGAAAGGCAAGAATTGTCTCATTGTTCGGCGTTAGAAATATTAACAAACGTCGTTAAGAGAAAACCCGAAAAGTTTTTCCAAGTATGTAGTCCCTTTGTAGGGATCTTCTGTCCATATAACTTGTATCACCTCCTATTAACTTGTCGTTCTTTTGATACCAGTAACATTTTACTATAAAGGTTGTATTAGTTAATGTTAGTTAATGTGGTTTATTTATAAACTAATTTCGAGAGGATCACGTGCTTATGATCAACACGGCTGGCACCTCATTAGCTCCGTAATCTGCCCTATTAGATGACTACGGAAGCATTATAAATGAGTTTTCACTCCAGTTATCTTTGTCTTGAAGTTTCCCCACCTACTTCCCACCCTTTCTTTCCGATAGGGTGACACAGTGGCCCAGTGGCTAGCACTGTTGCCTCACAGCAAGAACACCGCTGGTGCAACCTCCTATTGGGCTGGTTGGTGTTTCTGTGCGGAGTTCTATGTTCTCCCCGTGTTTGCGTGGGGTTCCCCAGTTTCCTCCCACCGTCCAAAAACATACACCATAGCCAATCGACTAAACCCTTTTATCACCCTAGACAATCTTAGATTACACTTCTCACACGGCGACAAGCAGGGCAGTTCTCGAGACCTACCTGAGCTCGAACTCCTCTCTCGCCCTTCTAACCGGAGGGAGCCCCGGGCTCGAGGATATTACGAGCTCAGGGCTCTCTCCCGGGACAGCATGCCATTTAACGCTTTAATGATTATCAGCTGTGTGAACTCTTGAAATGCATTTACGAATATGAACAAACAATCAACAATACATTTAATTCAGTTTTTGTTCATGTTATTTAATGTTAGTTAATGAAAATACAGTTGTTCATTGTTAGTTCATGTTAACTGACAGTGCGCTAACATGTTAACAAGCATGAGATTATATATTAATAATGCATTAGTAACTGTTGAACTATTAATAAAGGCTGCACCAGTATTGTTCATTATTAGTTCATGTCGGTAAATACATTAACTATTGAATCCTTATTGTAAAGTGCGACGTTGACAGCTTTATACTGTGTGTACATACATTTGTTTATATACTTGATATTATATAATTATATAATTATAATATAATTTATAATTATATTTTTATCATATGATTTTGTTAGTACAGGTTAAAAGTTTCTAAAACAAATAATAAAGACAGTGTTTAAAAAAAGCTTCACATCTATTGCAGTTTTATGGAAATTAATTGCGACGTGTGTATATGTGTGTGTGTGTGTGTGTGTGTGTGTGTGTGTGTGTGTGTGTGTGTGTGTGTGTGTGTGTGTAACGGCTGTGGTCTTTATATTCAGTTATGGAGGCACAATGGTCACATACGGAGGGATGGCCAAAAGACCCCTCCAGATCCCCGCTGTGAGTTAATAATCTGAGTCTTTTTTAATTTTATTGTATGTGCTTAAGTTGATACTATCTATACTTTTTAAATATAATTGTCGCCTATTCAAGTTTTAGGAACAACACATAACTTGACTTCTAGTTGATCATTTGGTATCAGAAGTGGCTTATATGAAAGGCAAAGGCCTCTAGATGACACATTTTTGAGCACAATAAAATCTGATCATGTCTTGATTATTAATGATTTCATTAGGACAGTAAGGTCTGACTCTGCTTAGACTAAAGTCTCATCACTGAACAGAAATAATGTCCAGTATAGAAGATAAAGTCCTGCTGCAGTGGAGACAGAATGAATATTGTGTCTGACTCCATCATGAGCTTGGAGGACTGCATCCATACATCTCTGCACTGACTCAAATCACTGATTAATAAAGTCATCTGGAATGAAGAAAGCGTTCAGCAGGACTCCCAGAGCTCATCAAGACTCTTTGGATCTTCATATCTTTTAACGTACCCCAGACATGCTTAATAATGTTCATGTCTAGTGACTGGGCTGGCCAATCCTGGAGCACCATGACCCTCTTTGCTTTCAGGAGCTTTGATGTGGAGGCTGAAGTATGAGAAGGAGCGCTATCCTGCTGGAGAATTGTCCCTCTGCTGTGGTTTGTAATGTAATGGGCAGCACAAATGTCTTGATCCCTCAGGCTGTTGATGTTGATCATCCACTCTGCAGATCTCTCGCACACCCCCATACTGAATGCAACCCCAAACCATGATTTTACCTTCACCAAACTTGACTGATTTCTGTAAGAATCTTGAGTCCATAATGGTTCCAGTAGGTCTTCTGCAGTATTAGTAATGATTGGTGTGCAGATCAACAGATGAATCATGGAAAAAATCCACCTTCTGCCACTTTTCACAATGATCAACAGGTTATTATGTGTTGCTCTATACAGCCATGACATGACTTTAGTCAGTGTATTATTACAGTTTTTTAAAGGTTGTGGAGTGCTTTGCACTTCATTGGTTTCAGTAAAAGCTATACAATATTGTGTTCATCTACATATCTATAAGGGAAAGTTCATCTCAGCAATATCATATGCTGTTCATTTGTTAAGCCTCCGCACCATCCAAGATCACATTTTATTTCTTAATTAAGCAGAAAAGGGACAGTTCAAAAAATGAAACTGCGCTCCTTTATGACTTTCCTCAGTTAGTGGAACACAATAGAAGTTGAAAACCATTGACTTTACATCCACTTTTGTCTTGTGCAGAAGTCCTTTATATTCCACAACGTGACACTGAAGGGCTTCTGGCTGACCCAGTGGAAAAGACAGCACAGGACAGGTAAATGATCAGACACGACTTTAAAGCTCCAGTGAAATTAAAATAACGTTTGTTAGATGTTAGTATAAGCATCTATAAGCTAGTGCGCTCCAAACAGTGACGAAATTCACATTTCATAAGTTCCCACTTAGACATGGTTGGCGTTTATAGCAGGTTTGGCATGCAGTCCCGGTTGAGCCCAAGGCTCCCGCCTGGTCAAATATGCAAATCTGAAGATCCGAGATCAGGTCTCGAGAGCTCCCCCTTGGAAAATGGAGAAAAAGGAGAAGATGGGGGGGAAGGGGGGGATTCTTCCAAAACGAAGATAACTAGAAAGCTAGGATTACTCTGATTGGATTATTACTGGTTACAGATGAGCAGCCAGTTGTGCTCAATCATATCATGCGCTCCTCTCGAAATTAGTTTCTGAAACCTCACTTAGTAGATATAGAGCTGATATAAACATGTCAAGTTTGCAGTTTGTCACTTACATCTAAATCAATCCACGTTATTTTTATTTTTTTTTTTTTTGCCATCTCCTTATTTTTCAGCTTCTCATTAAATATTCTGACCAATCAGATGCTCTCTGACATCTCCCCTTCTTCTCAGTGGCTTTTTATGTGGTGCCCTTATTCTCAGCCACTGGCAGAGCTTTAAGAAAATCTAAACACTATTGGCTGTTTTTAAAAGGGGCAGAGCTACTCTATGCCCCGCCCTCTCTTTATGTTGAGATTGTCAAACATCATATTAAAAAAAATGTAATTTCAAAGCACTTCATGGGACCCTTAAAAGGCAAACTGAGTGCTGAAATCTGACACGATGGTGTGTGTGTGTGTGTGTGTGTGTGTCTCTCCACAGATAAAGCCAAGCTGACGGCCATGTTGGATGCGGTGTGTGAGCTGATGAGGGCTGGACGGCTCTCCGCACCAAACTGCGTACACACACCATTTCACCAGTTCACACACGCTTTACAAGCTACAACACAAACACACAGCCGCAAACATGTGCTCATTATGTAGACGCAAAAACAGACAACACACTCAGTGCACATCTGTATACAAGTACTGTACGCTTATTTGTTCATCTTATTATCCTAAAACAAAACAAAACCTGGAACATCTGTAAAAAGAAGGCTGACAAACAGGCAATAAAATAAATTTTGTGTAAAAAAACTTTTTAGAGGGGGAAAAAGTCATATTTGAACATACAGTGCGGGAAATGAGTATTGAACTTGTGTTTTTCTCAGAAAACACATTTCTAAAGGTGCCGTTGACTTCAAATTATCACCAGATGTTGGCAACAACCAAAGAACTCCATATATGCAAAGACAACAAATCTAATTAGTTTATAAATGAAGTTCTGTGCAATGATATGATGAAGAGTAAAAAGTATTGAACACATGAAGAAAGGGAGGTGTAGTTCTGCAGTGAAAGCCCAGACAGCAGCTGAAACCTCTCAGTAGTTCTTCAGCAACCCTCTGCCCTTCCTCAGTGTAAATGAATATCAGCTGCTTCAGTCCAACAACAACATTAGCTGGAGGATGAAGATGGAACCAGGGGTCCGTTCTTCGTACCTCGATGATTTGTGAGATCCTGGATCATCTTCGTACCTCTAAGATGATTTGGCAGATCCTGGATCTTTTAATCTTGATAACTGATCTCTCGCTAATTTGGTTCTTCAAACAAGTTCGCGAATCAGATTAGAATGTCTGGATAAACTGATCTGAGATCGCTGCGTGTGTTGTGAAGGACAGATCTATCGATCCTCGAAATCATGATCAGCAATGCAACGATTGGCTGACGGCACAGCAGCGTAATGACATCATCTGATTAATATTCAATTATCCATGTGAGCAAAATTACATCAAATTAGCAGTAAACGGTTTGTTAAATATGACACGCGATAACCTTCCACATTTGTTGTGAGCTGCAGGCTTTACACTTTCATGTGTCAAGAGTATTCATCATGTAATTTAATGCATATCAATGTATTTAGTTCTACATTTAGAAAAGATTTTCTTTATTGTTATAGCTGTTTTTTTAATCGCTGTATGGAATAACTGGATGTTTACAAAAGCATTTTGATATTGGTAAAGGCGTCTGCAACTTTTGTGAAGCATCAAATCACTGGCATATTAACTATGAAAACATCAAAAGTTAGTATCAACAAGTTTTCTCTTTGCACCACTAGGTGGCAGTCTTTGTACTTTCATTTCAGGGTGCAGATTGCATAGGTTTTATAAATATATTTAACTTTATTTATTTTATTAATAATTTTAACTTTATATATAGTAAAAAAATATTTACTATTTTCCCAAGTGTATATAACTACTACTGTAAGAAAATATCAGAATTCGGTACATACTTTCTGTATTATCTTTGCTTGAACTGAGCCGATCTAATCCTGTTTATATGAATTGAACCTGCTTCCGATCAGGTTTAAGCTAGCAGAACTGTTGCTATGACAACAACTCTCGGATCAGCTTTGAAGAACGAAACGATCCTGGATCGTGTCAAATCGTCAATATCCAAATCCAGCTAACTGAATAATCCACGTACGAAGAACGGACCCCTGGGTGAACATTTCAGCAAGACAATGATCCAAAACACAGCCAAGGAGACTCTCAGATGCTTTCAGAGAAAGAAAATCAAGCTGTAGAATGGCCCAGCCAATCACCTGACCCGAATCCAATAGAGAATAAAGCTCAGATTTGACAGACAAGACCCACAGAACCATCAAGATTTAGGGACACTGTTGAAATCACACTTAGAATGAAAAAAAAGAAATCCAGTGACGACAGTGATGAGTATTTGCACATTTATTTACAAAAAAAAAAAAAAAAAACATCTAGTGGTTAATTTAAAAGGCATTAAAATCGTTTTCGGCCATATTCACAGTAAAAGAACAATATCAGTAAAAGATACTGTATAGTATATAGTAAAAAAAACAACAATCACAGCTCAAAACTACTCATTGAAATGACACGGGCATCATTGCGAAGTGTTTTCCCTCCGTTGAAGTACTTAATGAGGTCTGAAACTTGCATCATCTGACTTTGAAGAAACTTCAGTTTAATCCAACATTACAAAACATTTCTTTTAAAAAACAGTACGTTCAAGATCCCTGGGAGCGAGCGAACAATTTATTGGCAGTAAGCGCTAGCGTAAGATTTTAAAGCAGAATTTTCAATGAGTACGTTTACATGGACATCAATAATCCGATTTTAATACGATTAAGACAATACTCTGATTAAGAGTCTACCATATAGGCAGCGAGTTTTAATCCGGCTAACGTCATAATCAAACTAAACAGAAATGGAAATAAGACGTGTGGAGTATGCTGATTTTGGTTGCGTTATCGAAGTGCAGTACAGACATGTAAACACCTTAACCACTTTACGCTTGAGTTTTAGATACCATAGATATATACAGTAGATGTTGCCTGCTCTGTTGTTGTCTATTGGAAGGAATGCGTCAATAGAGCCGCCATTTTAGTACAGGGTAGGAAGGGTAGGATAAGTGAGCGCATGGGCATTGCCGTCAAAGAGTGTGTGTTTGTGTGCATGGAAATGTATTATCCTCCCTCCCTGTTAGATTTGATCTAATCCGTGTCCTGAAACACAGCTCCTCTCCTGCTTTCACTTCTCATACTGACGGAGAGAGGGATTCGTTTGTGAATGAATCTCCGTTATGAACAACTCGTGTTGATATCTCTGCGCCTCAATGTGTACATCCACCTTTCCGATCTAACTGGCGTATTGCATTTGTAATAAGGGTGGACAGTATGCACCCTGAGGCACTGTTATGTTACCAGGCACCCTTATAAGCTACTTCCATAACTAGCCGTTACTTAATTTAAATCTGATCTAATCATGTCCTGAAACACAGCTCCTCTCCTGTTTCACTTCTCATACTAATGAAGAAAGCGATTTGTTTGTGAATGAATCTCCGTTATGATTGGCTCCTTCACTTAGGCGACAATAATACAAGTTTCTGGCAGCGCAGCATCTCGTTGTCATATTTCTTTTGCATTGTTTGCTGATTTTATTCAACAAAACTAGCATAAGCCGAGTGTTTAGTGTGAGTTGGTGCTACTTTGCCTTACGGTGAATGCAGTAAGTGACTGTCATCATCAATAACGTTACCTGATTAGCACAAAAGTTCAGAACATACAAAAACAGAAAAAAACTTAATATTACCTATGAAATGTTCTGCCTTTGTGCTTTGTTTTCTTTGTTTGCTCATTACTACACCCGTAGACATCGCTAAAGTCCAGCATCTTCATGTAGTAACAATAGCTATGTTTCCATCCACCTATTTTATGCGCATTTTGCAAATGCACATTAAAAACCCAGTTGATGGAAACGCCATGATGCGCATACATTTTGAAAATGCGCATAAAAAACTTATGCGCCTAACTTGGTAGGATAAACTTTTTATTCGATAAGAAAAGATGCGCATAAACTGCGATGGAAACACTTTTACCCCACAAACTCCAGCATGCGCATTAAAAAAGGTCATGTGATTTTGTTAAAAGAGATCATGTGATGCTTAAAATGTGTGTGAATGGATAAAACGTCAGGCTGAGCACATTATAAAACATCTGAAATGTTATTTCGGTAATTATAAAACACCTTACCATTTCAGTATTAATGTTATTATATTATTAATGACCTCCAGAATCAAGAGCGCCTGTGCTCCGCGTCTGACACCTTCAAACGCTACTGCGCGCTCACTGCCTGTCAGGATTGTCTTCTGAGGCGCATTCATTTAGAAAAGATTGATGCAGCTTCTCCTACTGCAGCAAATGCAGGTTTTACTGTTGATATTTGGCGCCAGTTAATCAGGAAGTGACGATTTTGTTCGCTTTGACTCGTTGGATGGAAACATAGCTACTGTCTTGACTAGTGCTGTTGAATGACCCCTGCTCTGGGAGCCCTGTACAAATATGGCGGCGCTATTGACGCATGCTCAGGGTCCGTATGCGATATCTAGTGTATATATATCTATGGTGTAAACACCTTGATCATATTAATGTCTTATTCAGATTAAGGCAAATCATTGGATTACTGATAACCATGTAAACATAGTCAGGGATGTGTTCACTAGAGTAAATGCAGTAAGTGTACCTCAGCGCTGCAGCCGTCTGAGGATGTTTTGTGTGTTTTCAGTGTCCGTGTGTGCATGTTTGAGTGTGTGTCAGAATGTGTATATTTGTTTCAGTGTGTGTGTTTGTGTCAGTGTGTGCATGTTTGTGTGTGTGTGTGTTTGTGTCAGTGTGTGCATTTTTGTGTGTGTGTGTATGTGTGTCAGTGTGTGCATGTTTGAGTGTGTGTCAGAATGTGCATGTTTGTTTCAGTGTGTGTGTTTGTGTCAGTGTGTGCATTTGTGTGTGTGTGTGTGTGTATGTGTGTCAGTGTGTGCATGTTTGTGTGTGTGTCAGAATGTGCATGTTTGTTTCAGTGTGTGTGTTTGTGTCAGTGTGTGCATTTGTGTGTGTGTGTGTGTGTGTGTGTGTGTGTGTGTGTGTGTGTGTGTGTGTGTGTGTGTGTGTGTGTCAGAATGTGTATGTTTGTGTGTGTGTGTTTGTGTCAGTGTGTGCATTTGTGTGTGTGTATGTGTGTCAGTGTGTGTGTGTGTATGTGTGTCAGTGTGTGCATGTTTGTGTGTGTGTCAGAATGTGTATGTTTGTTTCATTGTGTGTGTTTGTGTCAGTGTGTGCATTTTTGTGTGTGTGTGTGTCTTTGTGTGGGTGTGTGTATGTGTGTCAGTGTGTGCATGTTTGTGTGTGTGT